GATAAACATCTTTTGAAAAAACTGATGATGTACCTTCTTTCAGAGGACATTGTTACCCAGCTTTGACTCTCAGTAATGCTTGTGAAAGTAGACGCAAGGACTTGGAAAATCTCTGCAGAAAGTATGTACATGTATCAGTAATCTTTTGGATCCCTCTGTACAGTGAATTATGGAAGAGTTGATATTTTTGTGGTTTTCATTTTAACTTTCCTTGTCATCTAGTTATCAAGAATGGGAAATATACTTGCCTTGACTGTTTTATGTACATTGTGATTTACTAAGCATCATTGTCCCAAGCTTCCAGCCCACAGTGTATGACTTAAAAAAACTAAGATTAGCTTGGTGAACCCTGCCCAGTTCTCTGACTGCCAACAGTGCGATACTGTTCAGAGTAAGCAATCTTTATTGTTAACCCATTTAGTACATTATTGTGACTGCTATGTCTGTTTCTGGTATGTAGATTACACTACAGGAGTGCTGTACATAAACTGTGTTTAAAAACTATTCAGTGCTTGAGTCTATCTGATTAGCTGTGTTTTTTCTTTAGTGATCCAGGCTCCATTGGCTTGATGGTAGACAAACTTATTAGTCAGTTTGGTCAGCAAGCAGTAAACCAGTGGATTGCTAAGGGAGGTAGTGAACAGTACCCACCCAGCACTCTACATGTATGTTCTAAAAATTTAACTTGAAAATAGTCTAAATAAAAAAAAATATGTCCACTAATGAAATCATTGGTATAATGATGATTTTAAACTAAATGACGTGTACAATCTATTGCAAGAAAATTGCAGCATCACCACACTGCAAGAATTTAATTCCCTAAGGGAATTCAATTTAAAAGTCTAATTGCAGCAAAGTCCAGTTGCAGGCCATCTACATGTATGTTGCCAGTAGTCAATGCATTGGGTCACTTGTTTGTACAGTTTTCATGTTTGTGACTGTTTAAATCGTGTGCAAGTCAAAAAGTGCTTTATCAGTAGTGAAAATGACAATATTTGTTCCATGTTTCTGTAAACTGTCTTGTTACTAACTATGCATAAATTTGTATGTTGTTGTGCAATATTACCCTTAATACAATTTGGTAATAAGGGTAAAATTGAACCTCTGTATCACTTGTATATACACAAGCTGTTGGCAAATGCTTTGTTGGCTACTTTGAATTCTTTTGAACTTGACACTTGCCTCCATACCTTTTTAAACATAGGGAACAAACATTTATGATCATAAAGTGATTATGACATCCCTGTTAATCATTGTTCAGAGACGTCTATGATGAAAGTGAAACAAGGAAAGTTTTGGGGGCAGAATTCCAAAGGCCACACAAGATTCTTCCACCTTGACATTGCATGCCTTGTTTAATTACGTAACATATTCTGGAAGCAAGTTACCCTTTCCAAATGGCCCACAAGACTTCTGAAATACAACCTTAGGAATTAAAATGAAACTAAGTTTCAGTCATTAAGTACTGGGATACCTTTTGTAATAAAGACACGGCCAATGAGCACTTTTACGTAAGTGTCAAGGTACGTGTATTTACCATTTACTTTGGTTTTGCATTCCTGTGCCGAGGGATTGGTTTAAAAAACTCATGCCACTTTGCCACTTTGGTGCTTTGTGGCATTAGCAATACCTTCCCTTGTAGCTTGCCTTAATTATAAACTATAGTACCATACGTCACTTTCACTTGACTATTGATTGGAAAAAATAAATATACTTTTGAACCTTGGTGTTGCTATTTTGGGGTTTGGTTGGGAGTGGGCTCACTACTTTTGGGGGAGGGGAGTCACTACGTTTGGGGGATCACTACCTTCAGGATTTACTAGCGGCCAAAATTTATTGATATCACTTTCGGGGGTCGCTAATTTTGGGTGGTTGTTACTTTCAGAAGTTTATGGTAGTGATGGAAGCTGAGAAAAATATGAGAAACCCAATGAGTGCTATAATTAATGCTTATGATATTGTAACGCGTGCAAACAACGACAAGTTCCACTCAGCGTCCAACAGCCAACGTTTTAATTACTTGACTCTTAACGTTTAGCTTACTTGTACACAGCAAGTCGACTCACGCACACAGGCCACTACATAATGCGAGTCTCTTATATACCTGTATTACAAGTACATTGTGCATTCAGTACTCGCCATGTAACTGTCTCTTAGTCTTAGAACTTGTGTGAGCATACATTCAAATACAACCGTTATACATCTTAACACGTGCACCTTAGCTCGTTCCATCACTATATGTATTTCATTACAATAAATTGTATAAAAATTGTTGCTTTAGGGAAGGAACATCTGACAGATATTAATTATTTAGACCTTTTTTCAGGGTATGTGCAGTCTGTATTTATTGGAAAATGTTCATCATATGTGGAAGCATTGTGTTGTATCCTTTGCCAAACAAGCTAATGAAATCTATTGAGAGATCAGTTATCAGATTATTATCAGCGATGGACTCACCCAAGGTACATGTTTGTATGTAGGCCTTAAATCTGGTCCAGAATATAAAAGATGTGGTTGGAATTCAAAATGTTTTAATGGACAGGTTGAGTAAGCCCTACCAAACACAGATGCAACCTTACAGAAACCTGTCTGCATTAATCAAATTCCCCCTTTATGATGAGTCTGTCCATGTGCACACAATATATAGCACTGTAGAATGTTCCCTTGACAAAGATGACACAGGTATTCTATTTGTTGCTTGATTTGTGCCTTCTGGACACTGAACTTCAAACAAATGAGGTATTTTTGTGTCTGTCTTTGAGAGTTTTGAAAATTTGACATTAACTGGTTAACTTTAAGAACAAGAAATGAAAGTTATTCCACATCTAGAATGAATGCAGCCCTGGAACTTATAGCAAAAGGATTTTTTAGTTGCCCAAAAGAACTTTGTGCTGGCTTTTTTTTTTGTCATGGAACATAATGAAATGACATTGGATGTTTAGACAGGCACTCATGTTACTTATTACTGCAGGACTCACAGGATCATTTAAAATATAATAATAGTTATTTGCACCAGAAGAATTTTGATTTGGGTTTATTATCCAGAATTTACTGTTATATTTCTTGGTTATTTACTGTTATATTTCTTTTCTCTTTTTAATTGATGTAATTACTGTAAATACTGTTAAAGTTATAATTTTTGTAAATAGTGCAAAACAATAAAAATCTGAAAATCTATCCAAAAACGTTTAAATCACCCTCATCCAATAACAGGGTTGTGTTTCTCTTAATTAAGGTGATTCCCTAGTAAAAGAACCTGCCATAGATTTCCGATGAAACTTGGTATGCTGTTGTTACAGGACAAGGAGATATTAAAAATGTAGTAAAAAGAGGGGGTCACTGTGCTTGTTTTCACACCACAATGCTGATAAATACTTTTATTTAGGTGACTTTTGGTAGTCTCCGTGCGCAACAAATAAGCTCGATTATTTTTCAATGCAGCGTGTTATGTCACTCAGTGTTTGACTTTCTTTGATTGTTTACTCTATGTCCCGGAAAAAATGTCTTCAAATACCCTGCATTTTTTTATCCTTTAAAGAACACATAATTTGGACATGTGCTGTTGGGCCGTTATGTCTCCCTCTGTAGTATTTATTTGATTTGATTTGCCAAAAAAGTGGCCATAGATTTCTGCTAATTTTTTTCTCAGTTATTGGGGATATTTTTTCTCATTGAAATTATGAAATAAAAAGTGGGGGTCACCAAGCTCATTTAAGAGAAAGGAGCATTTATTTCGCTATGGAGCTTAGTTTGAGGGAAATCTCTTACGTTTTGTACGTGCATGTGCTCATGTGCACATGCTAATGACGCGAAAAGTGTTCACAGTAGGGATGCGCAATGCAATACTAAGGAATCACCTTAAGTTATGTTAAAACATCAATAAGATGATTTGGGCACTGGCACATTTAATTTTCTTCAAAGCTAGCATTTTGTTTCTTTATGTGTGCTTAGGTGGCAACAAAATTTGCTAAGGCATTCAGCATATCAGAGGACTTAATCAAACTCATTCAAGGATTCTGGATGCTTGACCACCAGCATTTTGAGGTAGAGCTGAGCCTTATCCTGGTTTATTGTAAGAAGAACACAAATGTTTTTTGGTTAAATTATGGCAAATACATTTTTCTCATTTATTCAATGCCTTTTCGTTAGGTTTTTGTCCTGCTCTAGAGTAAAATCTTATGTGTATAATTTTGGATTTTTTATGAGGCTATGTACAACTGTATGCTATTTCCCATGTAAATCGTAGAATAAGCTGATGGCAGTTTCCATAAGATAAATTGTAACAGATGAAATATCACATCTAGCCGTGCTGTACTTGAATGGTACATTTGTGACCTTGGTAAATGAAAGATAGTGTTGTTTCATAGGCTGCATTGACATATTTAGTGGATCCTGTTGTAAAAACTGAACTTGGCCCTTGGCAGAGAAGTTTTGTCATCAAGACGTTGCTTGCCCAAGGTACTTGCATCTTGAAGTTAATCAATTTAAGTACTTGTACATTATAGAAATTCCCTTATATTCAATTCTTCAAAGTATTAAATTTTTGTAATAATTGTTTTCTAGGTGAAACACAGAAAGCTTTGTACTTGATGAAGGTCATGTGTCCCACTGTGCAGAGCTTCAGTGATGTTAAGTTGTTTATCACTGTATTGTTGGCCAGCGGGTAAGATATCAGTTTACACATATTTCCTGGATTACCTAATGGCTTCCACTTTTAACAGCCTCCATCTAAATATGTAAT